GAGATATCCGCTTATAACATCTCACACTGCCAAAGGCTAACTCGGGAACCGATAGAGCTAAAGCGCTGCGGGAAAGCGCATTCGATAGCTCTTTTAACGCTCTTTTGCCAGCATGTCCTCAGATTTGACCTCAGGTCAACGGTTTAGCGAAGGCAAAAACTCCAAAAATAGCCGTTTTTACGAAGTGTCTTTTTTCGGCAATAACTTTTGACTCAAAAGACACGGTTCGTCGGAAGGTCATCTCAGGCTCAAAAGAAACGATATATAGGGGAGATCCGTGTAAGACGCCCAGGGTCGGTAAGAGGCCCCATCGCTTTTTTTACCAAACCAATAATGTTATTTATTTTTTAATGTTCTTGTAAAGCAGAAGCCCTCTTAAAACAACAACTCACGAAGCCTGAGGTATCAGGTGCGTCGCAGCGACTTTTGGTAAGTCTGTTTCTGTTTTTGCCCCTTTACTTGCTAGATATATGCATCTTTATCACCCTTATATATCTGAAAAAAACAATGGCTATCAAATACAATCTTATCTCATCGTAATTGTCACATGTTAGCTTCAGAATAGACCCTGTTCTGGTGCGCTGCAAATGTCTCATAAACCATAAATATTGTGACGTTAAAACACTGCATTTTTTTAAGAGGCCCTCCCTTCGAGGACGATAAAACGCCCCCCGGGGCCTCTTACACTTTCGTCTTCGAAATTGTTCAATGCATTTCAGAAGTGCTTTGAGTCTAGCAGACTCGACGACAAACGTATAGCGTGCCATATTTTCTCTAAATCTTAAATGGTAGCACACAAAAGAGTTGTGATTTGAATTTTCCGTAACAAAATTAGGTGAAAATCTGCCTTAAGCTAGATAGGTACGTACATCAGTATGGTTTCCATTCCGATCGATGCATTCTCATTTTATTCAAGTACTCCGTATACACTCACATAAATACATACGCATGGTTCACATAATTATACACACAATCATAATCTATACCCGTTACAATTCGTTTCTGTGCGATTCATCTGTCATCGGCGCTGCATCGGCGGCCCGCCTGGCCAAGCCAGGACGGTGCCGTTCTATGGCACATGCTGTCCCGGTCCCGGGGACAGCTGTAGGATACCTCCACCACTGACCTAAAAAAGACCTCTAGAGGTCAATGACCTCCACATACTGGAGACATCTGTGTGGTACCTCCCCGTACCGGGAAAATTTGTGGGGTATCTCCCCGTACCGGGCAGGTCTGAGGGGTACCTCCCCGTACCGGGAAGATCTGTGAGATACCTTCCCGTGCCGGGAATATCTGTGGGGTACCTCCCCCCGTACCGGGAAGATCTGTGAGGTACCTCCCCGTACCGGATAGATCTGTTGGGTACCCCCCGGCGTTCCAGGTGGGCCGCCAGTCCCACACTCCCTCCCCCCCCCCCTCTCCGGCTCCAGAAGGCATTCAATTTGCTAAAACTAGTTGTTTTCACCCAGCTACTTTTTTCGAGTCTAGAAATATGCTCGATTTGTGTTACATCTTTTTCTTTTTGTCGTTTCAGAAATGCCTCGACCAAGAACCTCTCATCGAGGTTCCTACGGGAACGAAAAGCTTCAGGAAGCTTTGGCTGAGTTGAGAGATGGAAGATCTGTGCGTAGCGTGAGCGCAAAATATAACATACCGGGGAAAACCCTGAGACGTCATCGTGATGGGAAGGTGCGGAAACCCGGCAGTCTTATCTTGGGGAGATATGACACGGATCTGCCCATTGAGCATGAGGACATTCTAGTTGAAAAAGTCAAAGTGATGGAGAAGATGTTGTACGGGCTCTCTACAGTGGACATTCGGCGGTTGGCATACGAGTATGCGGAAAAGCTTGGCGTCCAACACCGCTTCAGGCATGAAAACAAAATGGCAGGTAAAGAATGGCTGCGAGGGTTTCTTGGAAGACACCCAGAGCTGTCTATACGCAAGCCAGAAGGAACAAGCATGGCACGAGCAGTTGGGTTCAACCGAGCACAGGTGACGCGATTTTTCGATCTTTACAAGGAACTGGCGAGGGAGCACCAGTACACAGGCATGAGAATATGGAACATGGATGAAACGGGTGTCCAATCGGTGCAACAGCCAGCAAACGTTGTAGCAAAAAAAGGGAAGAAGCGAGTGGGCAAAATAACAAGTGGCGAGAAGGGTAAAACGGTAACCGTGCTCTGTGCCGCAAACGCTGCCGGACAGTTTGTGCCGCCCATGTTTATCTACGCCAGGGCGCGTTTCCAAGATTCTCTCCTCAACGGGGCTCCGACTGGCTCAGTGGGAGCGTGCACCAAGTCCGGCTGGACCGATCAGAGTTGCTTCCTGATGTGGCTGCAGCACTTCATCAAGATGGTGAATCCGTCCAAGGATCGCAGACACGTCCTCATTGTTGACGGCCATCACAGCCACAAGAGTCTGGAGGCACTGGAACTCGCATCCAAACATGGCGTTGACATCATCACTCTGCCGCCGCACTGCACCCACCGGCTTCAACCGCTCGATGTCGCGTGGTTTAAGTCGCTCAAAGCGAACTACAACAAACAGGCAGACACGTGGCCGAGAGCGCCGGGTCTGCGAGTCGATAAGGGTCATTTCACGCTTCTGTGTGGCTGACTTTGGTCCATCGTGACACTGAGATGTGTGATTGCGCCTTACTGTCGGCTGTGGGAGACGCATATTAATGTTTGGAAATATTGCTTCGCTAAATATTGTTCTTTTGGCGTTCAGCTTTCACTGGAACTCAATAATACATGTTTATGTTTTCAAGAATGTCCGGGACAGCCCGTTGAATAAAAGGTTATTAAGTTTTTACAAAAACGCAATTTTTAAAAAAGGCCATCGATCGATTTTGATAAAAATTACATTTTTGGATTCAGCTCTCCGTCAGCTTTCGAATGGTATATACCTTTTCTTTTGAGCCTGAGATGACCTTCCGACGAACCGTGAAGAGCCACGACATTACTTTTGCCAGATCGTGTTCCTCTCGTCGAGATGCTTTGATGACCTTGAAACTTTGAAAGGGCAACTTGAAAATTTGACCTCAGGTCAAGGTCATGACCTGACGATATCAGTCGATCCGCATCGTCGAGCGGAACACATCTAGGGTGTTTTCATCGCTCTAGCATGCCTCTATCAGAAGTTATCAGCGAACAACTGTTAGATTCTGTTCGTGAGCTGAGATGACCGCAGGCACAGACTTCTCTATATACTCTATAGAGAAGTCTGTGCCTCGGGGACATAACGAGGGGTCACAGGTGCCATTTTTCGGTTCAGTGTGTCAATTTGACCTGCATCCCGATGTTTGAGTGTCTAGAATGGCGTGAGAGAGAGGAGAGAGGTCCTAATCTAATAGGACGAACCCGCTTCGAGAAATGCCTACTGGGACATCACGGGTGAGGGGTCGGCCTGGGGCCCCAAATTTCTCGCATTGACTTAATGGAGAGGCCGCAAAATTGACCTGTCCTTAGGTCACCGATATCAAAATTCTGAGATATACGTTTTATAGATACTGTTGGCTGTTACTTTTATCAATCGCTTTTTCAAGTTTCAAGGCAATCGTTCAGTCGGTGTAGCTAGGACGAGCATTCTAATTTTTTTCTGAGGTGAGGTTACGCCATCTTGGCGTGACTTGGTGACCTGACCTTGAGTGACCTGGGTCTGAAATTTTCACAACATGTGCGGAAAAGATACACAACAGGTGTGCCAAAAACGAGGGGGGTGTTCAAACACCCCCGGCCCGGCGCGGGTTAAGTAAATTTGAATTGTTCTTAACAGATCAAATGATCTTCTGTAAATTCAATATTTAAAAGTTAATTCAGTCGTCTCAGTAAATGCCGCAGCTGCACCAAGATTGTACGTTATTCATATTCCGTTTGCAATGAGAATAACCGGCCGTCGAGGGGTGAGCCAAACTAGATCTGTTTGACGTCGCTAACACGAATTAATCTTATGTAGCCGCTGCCGTATAGACGTTTTTCAGGAGCAGATACGTATTAGCGTAGTACGTATTAGGACCGGATCGCCCATGTAACCGAGGTAAGTGACGGGCGAGGTCTGTGAACAGGTGCTGGAGCCGCAGTGTCCCAAAATTATATTTTAGCTTGGGTGTCAGAGGGGAAAATTATTCCGTAGACAGGGTGAAGAGAGTGGAAAATTGCCGGTAAGGTAAAGCTAATAACAGATGCGAGGGATAAGAGTGGAGTAAAAACAAATTGATAGCTTACATTTTTACCAAAAAAAAAAATTGATAGAGTAGAGCGTGTAATGTAGGAAGCATCGATATGTTGTTTAAGACCATGTACGCATATGCCCTTTGCTTTTTACGTTCGGAGTGGAAAATTGATCTTGAAAGGTTGAATTGAGAGTGGAAAATGGTTTTCATTTGGATGTCGTTTCACACCCAAACACCGATTAATTTTGGGACACTGGCTGGAGGTGGACGGCGTTCCCTGGCATGCCCGTAAGCTGCGACCACGGCACGAGGCGTCATCGGGCATCGAGGATGACGGTGACGAGACCATCGAGTGGTCGCCGCTGCCCGCCGGCCCCCAGCCGTCCCCCGCCCGGTCACAGCGAGCGGGCGCCTCACCCGCCGCCGCCGTGCGGCTGCTGCGCTCAGCCGCAGTCGTGGCGCTTCATAAGCTCATCAACGTTTTGATACTGTTTTGTGTGTATTTGTGTGCATGATTCTTTAAAATCAGGGGAAGTGTGGTGTGATGCCCGTGATTCTTTGCAATAAGGGGAGGTTTGGTGTAATCCCCGTGTGTCTTGTCCCCGGCGCGCCCTGCCATAGACTGCACCGGGACAGCCGGACCTCGCTGCCGCAGAGGCGGGACGATAAACGGTCGCCAGAAGCAGGCCACTACTACGTGACGAGCCCCAATTGTTTTGAAAAAAAATGGCAGCCCTGTAATGAATACTGTTATTTTGTGTGGGCTGCGCACCGACGCGACGAGTTGACAGAGCTGGAGCCCGCCGTTGGCCGGCCAGCTTACCGACACGCAAGAAGAGCAGCGACGAGAACTGCGAGAGCACCACGGGCACGAGGACGCCGAGCAGCGTGCCGAGCCGGTTGGTGGTGCCGGCGGCTGACTGGGCCTCCAGCAGCGGCGCGCCGTCCCGAGCAGGCGGAGCAGACACCAGCGGGTCAGGGTCGGCCATGGCCACCAGGCAGCGTCCGCTCCAGCACTGACCTCCACACACTGCCGATACAAAACGCAACGCGTCCCCTGGTGAGCGCACGTACAGTATGTCTAAAAAGAATGTACCGTCGCCACTACGCTGCGCTGGTGTCGCGAGCAGTTAGTTGGATGAATCCGCACCGAGAGACTCTACGCATCCCCATGCGCTCGGTGAGAGCTACGCAGCGGCCGATAGTAGCGTAAGCCCAAGCCTCCGTGACACGACCACGAGAAGGAGGGAGGGGAGCGGGCGGGGGAGCGCGTGTAGGGAGGGGTGCTCCGGCAAGCTGGCAGTTGTCGCGGCCAAAGGTCAAGGGGTCACACACCAAGCGAACGGACGCTGATGTGGGTTCGTGGGCATCGTGAACTTTTGTGTGGTAAGTTCACTTGCGATGCACGGGTGATACGCCAGGTCTAAGCCAAAGGATTCAGGGGAGAGCTGAAGAAAACACCTGGTCAACTACGGCGAATAATGGTGCTGAAAAATGGAAAGTATGGGTCAATGCAAGCCTTCATGACTATAAACAACTTTTCTGAGGACGCAAAGACCAGCATTTAATAACGATATCCGGATCGAAATTAGCAATGATTTATAATTGCATGCCGAACTAATAGCGCTGCGAAACCCACCTAGTAAATTGTCAAGTCGGATTATACCCACTTGAATTAAACTATCCTAAATAAAATTGTTAATTAACTTTCTAACACTGACGTTCTTTATCATACGATAAGTATGGGGTTAACCAAGATTCAGCATCTTCCGCGTTCAAACAATCACCTGTAAGGCTAGAAAATTAATGGCCAGGGAAAAACAAGGTCGGGATTTGATTAACCGGATTATAAGTCGTCTTTTTTTTTTGTCGGGATTTGATGTCGGATTTTTTTTACGCCAACCGCATTTTTAAGTCAAGTCAGGTCACTGATCTATGACGTCATAAATGAACAGTCCTAAAATGAACTGTGTGAAACTGTCCTCAACTGTCCTAAAATGAACATTTTAGGACTGTGTGCACAGTCCTAAAATGTTCCAACTTCGCAACACCCTCAATGCAGAGCTTTCATAGGGAGATGAAACTTAAGACCTTATAGTATCATCGAGAGGTCTCACAACTTGTATAAATGCATATCTCGGATTTTCTGAAGGGTCGCCTGAAATCAGGTCGGTCTCTCACCATTAAAAGTCAGGGGGAATATGGAAATTGCTACTTTGGTCCGGAAATGATCTACAACTATCTCAAATTCTCAAGCACACGGAATCGTGATTTCATGCGCTCCTTGCAAGGTCTGATGCTTCTCTTTCGCTTTGTTGATCTTGCGTGACATTTATCACGTTACTAAGGCTATCAGTTTTTCGTCAATAACTCCCAATCAACTGAAGCTACCGAGTCGATAAAGCCACTAATGGACATGGAAAGACCTGCCGAATCGATTGATATGCAATATGACCTCCTTTGACCTGACTGAGCTAGACAAACACGATGCTGCTAAAATCGCGGATCTGCGATCATTTTTAGCGAAGCTATTTACCAAAAACAGAGCCTGCCTTGGGCCACTTGACCTGACCTCCGAAGTCATCGGCTGACCCTGGTCCTTAAATCGGAGACCAATCGCTGCATTTCGTAACGACGCACACGATCGTTTCTTACGTGAGGCTCTAGCTCAATAAGGGGCGAATCGGCGAAGGCGGTTGTTTCCTCACTTCCAACCCCCCAACGGCCCCTCGGTATTCAGAAAACCTGAAGGTCCGGTGAGGGTCACAACGTTGCTCGTGAACGAGGAAGAAATGTAAAAGTCAAAGCTCTATAGACGTCCTGTACAAGTGGCCATAATAAATAAATTGGTTAGAGATAAGATGCTTTTTAAACGACTTCCTCATATAAAATCGGGTGCTGGGACCAATCTTATAAACGCTTTAGAATGGACAGGGTGTCACTGGCTAAAGTTTGGGTGCAGAAAACGGCTATTAAATGCAAAATGGTTTTCATGCATTTCAGTCAATTGTACATATATTGATGGTCCCAGTGGCCGAGCTAAAAAAGTTAGGTAGTGTTTTGCATCCTTTACACCCTAAGAAACTACACCATTTATTGAAGTGGGCGGGTTTATTTGAATGGGTGGGCGCATTATGCACCAATCGTGTGCTTTCGTTTGTTTTGGACTGTATTTTACCACATCTGGTATCTGGTACCACAGCTGGTATCACTATTAATATTATCTAATGCCGTGAATACGACAGCATTCGATTTATAAGATTGGGCCAATGGAGTCGCGCCCCGTGAGCTCGGTTTTCCGCTCGGCCGCTACGGGCCGAGGAAGTCGGTCTTCGCCTGAGGGCAGGACGGAGGTCAGCGAGGGAGCGCAGGGTCAGTCAGGTATCGCCCAGTGCCGAGCGGATGCCGCTCCCTCCCCTCTCTTCCCCTCTTCTCCCCTCCCCACCTCGGTATAGATGGGGAAGGACCGAACTGCCAATGGCATGCGAGCGGTCAAGGACGCTCGCGCGGCAGCGACCCTGGCGGCCGGGTGCCGCAACTAGGATTTAGCCAAGTTACCGATTCGCCATCTGTGGGAGAGCCAAACAAGGGGAAATACTGTTTAGATATATACTGTACAAACACGCGCCGGCGCCTGCAGGAGCAGCGCTGGCGCTGGCTTTTTGACTAATACCGGGGTTACATGAGCGATCCGTTCCAAATACGCACTACGCTAATGCGCATCAGCTCCCCACAAACGGATCTACGGCACCGGTTACATGAGACTAATTCGTTTTATCTACGTCAAACGGATCTTGTTTGGCTCACCCGGGCTGACTCCTCGACGGCCGGTAATTCGCATCACAAACGGAATAGGATTAGCGTACAGTCATGGCGCAGTTGCGGCATTTACCGGGACGACTGAGCTAAATTTTAAATACTTATATCATTTGATAGGCTCAAAAACATTTAAAATTAACATGAAATCAAAAAATGAAAACAAAGTTTTCTTGTTTTAAGTCAGTGGGCACTGATTCGCCATGCAGCGACAGCAGGGTGGTCAGAAAAAATTATCTATCAAAATATTTCATTCATTTTATTTCACATGCAAAGACTAAACCAAAATACCAACATTTTTTGCTATTTTCTACGAGGCAGCCAATAAAAAAAAAATGCTTAGTATTTTGCATTTTGACGCTTCCAGTCAGCAAAGAATAGTTCTTGTGAAATACGGCCCGAATCGTGTGCCTCGGACGTTTCGGTTACATGAGCGATCCGTTCCAAATACGCACTACGCTAATTCGCATCAGCCTCCCCAAGAACGCATTCAGTGCACCGACTACATGAGCAAATTCGTATCAGTGACGTCAAACGGATCTAGTTTGGCTCTCGGCCCGATGCGCATTACAAACGGAATAGCATACAAATGTGGCGCACTTCCGTAGCAATAGAGGTGACTAAATTAAAATTTTATTATCTTATGTCTTTTTTGCATTTAATCTGCTCAAAACATTCTCAATTAACTTAACAAAAAAAAGTTGAACATAAAGTTGTCTTGCTTTGACTCATTGGGCAATTGCCTCTCTTGATTCGTCTGTAGTGCTGTCAGAAAAATGTTTCAACTGAAAGTACTTGGATATTTTCTTTTTGGTTTTCACTATATTTATTTTTGAAAACTTGACAAAATACCGACATATTTTTTTTATTATTATTTCAAAAGAAGCAAATGAAAAAATACCTATTATTTTGCATTTTAATGTTTCTTTTTGGGAAGAAATAGTTCCTGACTCCTGTAATACGTATCTTGGTCCTATTCGCTTCTAAGCCTCCTTTCCCAGCGGATTTTGTTCGGAACGCCGATTCGAATTAGCAGGTGGAATGTGGATACATGAGTCGGTAGTACGCTCCTGATTCGCATTAGCGGTGAATCCGATCGTGATACGTATTTGCTTTGCTCATGTAACCGCGGATCGGATCGCCGATTCGTACTAGCAGGTGGCTACATGAGTCGGTAATGCGTTCCTAATTCGAATTAGCGGCTAAATACGTATTTACTTTGCTCATGTAACCCCGATAATTGATAAAAGATCCATAGTCTAGACGGGACCGCACCAACAAGGTAATGTCGCTCAGTTCAGAAAGAGCGAAACGAATATCTGCCAAATTTCATCGAACATATTCACCGGTTTTCAAGATATTAGGGGAAGTTGGGGGAACGCCGAATACTTTTTTTCTGACGCCCGTAGCACGCAAGGTAGACAACATAAGCTATTCTTGTTGGCGTCATTCGAGAGGCCAGTCTTTTGCCTTTCAAACATACCAGGCGCATTTGATGAATTCGCATACCGTTAAGCGCACAAACTAAAAATATCAAAGAAGTGACTTTTTCGGCGTTGCCCCGGACTGCGGGGAAAGCCGAAAATGGGAGAAATGATCTACGGGGAATGCCGACATCGCTTGGTACACACTGGAAGTTATAATTGTGTGATATAATAAGAAAATGCCAGGTAAATAATTCCTTATAGGTAACAGGCCGTTGTGTCGGTTGAAAGTGTAATTTGTGTGACTAAAAATTCGCGTTGCTATTTTACAGCAGTAAAGTCCACGTAGTGTGCTTTAACGTGCGTAATTGCACGTTTTCGGCATTACCCCAGCCAGCCATACTTTCATTTGCAGGCCCATAACTTTTCAACGTGCCGTATAAATTTCAAATAGGCAGCACACTTATGCAAAGACATGCTGAAGATTACTTGACCGAATTGGCCAGACAAACGGTAGCATAATGAGTAAGAAATGCAGCTTCAAAGGCGCATGTAGTACTAGGAACGCGTACCTTGAAAACGCTCTTGGCGCCCTCACAGCCGAAGTATCCCGAATGACGACTCGTAACAAACATGCGATAATCGTAGTCACTTAAGCTTCAGAGCATCACTGACAGGTGGCACCCATGTCTTACGGTTTTCGAAATATCTCGAATTTCGGCTTTGCCCCAACTCCGGCATTGCCCCAACTTCCCCTACTTTTACTTTTGTTTACTTTTTAGGATCTCCG